ATGGCTACATTACAAAGTGGTACCGAAAGCCAAGTAGTAAAAACATCTTGGTTCATTACCTCTCCTCTCACCCAAAAAAAACGAAAAGGGCGCTTATAAGAAACATGTTTCGAACAGCAACCAACGTGTGCACGGGAAGAGAGCAGAGAGAGGAGTCCCGGAACTTGGCACGGCAAATAGCCATTTCTAATGGCTACGAAACTGTAGCTCAGGATAGGTGTAGAGGAAATCGTAGGCCTCCAAACGACAACTCTAGCGATAGAAGGGTCCCGTTTATCCTACCCTTCATCTCAAATGATATAAGTACAGCTATAAAACGCTGCTTGAGANCCGAGAAAAGCCGAAAGAAAAATGGCTTCCATTTTTGAACGTACAAATTCACCTATCAGAAAATGGCTACATTACAAAGTGGTACCGAAAGCCAAGTAGTAAAAACATCTTGGTTCATTACCTCTCCTCTCACCCCTCTCACTCGAAAAGGGCGCTTATAAGAAACATGTTTCGAACAGCAACCAACGTGTGCACGGGAAGAGAGCAGAGAGAGGAGTCCCGGAACTTGGCACGGCAAATAGCCATTTCTAATGGCTACGAAACTGTAGCTCAGGATAGGTGTAGAGGAAATCGTAGGCCTCCAAACGACAACTCTAGCGATAGAAGGGTCCCGTTTATCCTACCCTTCATCTCAAATGATATAAGTACAGCTATAAAACGCTGCTTGAGAAGGGCGGGCTTAGAGAAAACGGTAAGAGTAGTTGAAATTCCACCGAATAATCTTAAGCGCCAGCTAGTTCGTAACCGCCTATATGACCGTCTATGTGCAACTCAAAATTGCATAATCTGCCCCAGTGGTAGAGACGGTGATTGCATGAGCTCGGGTATAGTTTATCTGATCTCCTGTAAGACGTGCGGTGACGAATACATTGGCGAAACGGGTAGACCCCTCTGTGTCCGCATAAAAGAACACCTAGCCGGCAAACATAGACCAAATACACTGCTAGGCACGCATAGGACCTAGAGACATAACGGGGACGACTTTGAAGTATGTGTCACGATCCTCGCACACGAATCAAGAGCACAGCGCGAAAAACTCTCGAGGAACTCTGGATTAATTCAAGAAATCCGAAAATGAACCGCAGGGAAGAATGTCTCATTATCACGCGTGATATAGGGCAGTATATAAAACTGCTTTTCTGATATGAGGGGCACATTATACTTCCATGTGATTTCTGTGCGGTTGGTCTCTACGTGACATACTTAGTGGAAACCTCATAGAAAGCGGTGAGTGTGCAAAGCTGTGTTCAACGTGATTGAAATCTTGGTTTAGAGTTTCTTCGTTTGGTTATGGAGGCGTCTGCCCTAGTAGATTGCTATTAACTTGACCTTTCCAGGCTCTGAGGAAGGCGAAATCCGCCGAAACGTCAGCTTAATCGTGAACAAAGAATGTTGCTATTAACTTGACCTTTCCAGGCTCTGAGGAAGGCGAAATCCGCCGAAACGTCAGCTTAATCGTGAACAAAGAATAGTAACACCTCGAGTTTGCTCAACAAAAATACGAAGAGCTCCTTAGTGATTTATTCCACGCAAAATCTTAACGCCGTGGCTTTTCAGAGCAAACACTGTATGACGCATACGCTTTGTTGTGAAAAGTAGATTTCGTCGCATCTAATACGCTAATATTTCTCACATGCTGTTGTGAATTATTGCTATAAGATTTGTTACTATTCATGGTGCAGTAATCTGGATAATTATGCACACTTCATAGTCTTTGTATTATCGCTCCATAGAGGTTAGGCACCAATCGCATACCTTGAACGGCAAGAAACATGGATTGGGCCTGTGAGTTACTAACCTTGATGCATTTATCGACTACGTTGAGTTCCTGCATTTGTCGTCCTATCTTTGCATATTATTTAATGCGGGAATGGAAAGATTTGAATTCGGTTTAAATGTCGCGTCACAATGAAATAGTAGGACGACTTATGAAAGGAATTGCTGGCGAAGCGAAAATTTTCTCAGATTCCGCTGTGGTGTAAACCTGAAAATGCTCTGAAAGTCTAGGTCAGGATTCCAGAAGAGATCAAATTGTCCAATCAGAAATATACCAGTGTCAGTATTCCACTCACTTGGTACTCCCGTCTATGACAGACGATGAGATGACCGATGAAAGGTGACTAAATCTTGTGCTGCTCAAGATGATTGCATCAGAAGCGGAAACGTATCAAATTTCACGCGATCGCCTGGCAAGAAAGAAAGATGAGAAGGCCGACATATGTAAATTAAACAATCATCCGTGGAGAAAATGTTCTGCAACGAATTTTCGGTGACATAGGCTTTGTCGTCCACTCTTTCATAACTCATCTCGTTGATTCGAACCATATCCTGCCTTCTGGCATAGCCACCTTCGTTTTTCAACCAATCACTCATGAGAAGGTCACTATCGTTAATTGGTAACTACCGTCTGATGCACTGATGACTACGAATTAAGCGTTTTCTATTAACGGCTGAAAGAACTTATCCACACTAATACGTCATATTATAAATTTATTGCCAACGATTTCAATACCAGGACAGGAAACTCCAATGAGAGCGAATGCAGAAATGTAAAATTTGGATTAGGAGAATGAAACGAGAACGCATTCAGATTTGAGGGATCCCTATCTACAGCAATGAACACGGGAGTCTCCTAACTCCACGAGTGATGCAGAGACCGACCATATTCTGACAGGCACAAAACGGTGCCTCTTTGACAGCTCCATGATACGTATCTTCGGTGCTGGATGTTGCATCACCCTCCTCTTCTTTCGAAGATCTATTCAGCGTAAACTGGAAAGTAATTCAAGTTATTGACCAAAAAGAAAAATTCGTACTAAATATGATGGGAACGATCTATAAGGAATTATATCGATAAATGACAGGCACATTAGGCAAGACCTGACAGAAGACTAGAACGGTTTGTTGAGGAACTTAATATTTGTGCCGAACTATATCCGAGAACAATTTTCACGGTATGAAAGACAATATCATTTGCAAATCTTCTTCGTTTACATCCCATATGATTCTCTGACGAAAACGAAGTGGAAGTGTCATATTTAGAAGTGGAGAAACTTTACAGAGAAGATCATGCATTCAATATGGTTATTACGATATTTCAACGTTAGGCTTGAACCCCGACGAACGTGTCTAGGATGCCACATTCTAACCGACGAATTGGAATGGAGTAAATAAAATGGAAGGATGTCCGAGTTTATCATAACGATCAAGACGACAATGATGCTAGGATGTTTGCAAAACTCGGAACACCAGGTCAGCTGCAAACTCGCGACTACCCTTGCAGGAACCTCAAGAGTTGTCCAAAGCACCATAGAAGTCCTTGGTTTGTTTTTCTTCGCTAGCTGTTTGCCCTAATGGTGCTATTATCAGTCATCCGTTAAAGAGAATGATCTGGTTAACACGAATTGGATTTGAATCCATTTAAGCGGGAGCTATTGTCGACTTTATAATGCTTAATCTTTTATCCACCTCTTACTATTTTTCATAGCGGAATATTATGTGAAATAAAACCATATGTTGCGGGTATTTAAAACTTTTGATGAATACTAAGTAGTTTGGAATATTAACCCTTGCAGCTGCCACGCGGGACTTCTGTGTGCAAGTCACTGAGTCCAACGCCTTGAGACACTGAGTTATAGCTTTCATTACTATAGTGACAAATAATAATACCACAGTAACAGCAGAGCGAAGTTATACGAGACGGATTGGAGCAGAACTAGTTGGATAAGTTGAGCGAATTGAATGGATGAACTGGACGAACTGGGCGAACAGGGCCAGCTAAGAAAGACAACTGATGGGCTGCTTATATTCCTAATGTAGTGGGTGAAACTTTGACACATGGAACAAGAGACAGCACCTAAAGAGAGATTATAAAAGTTTCTCAGCTAGTACAATCTTTTAGACCTATAACCATAAAAAGCTTGTGATGTTTATATAATAGCTCATAGAGAAAGTACATGTGAAAGCGCTCAGCTGGTCGCATGGAAAGTTCATTGGAACGGCAGAAGCAGGAAAGTACATGCAGCTGACAGCTGCTCATTCAGTGCTTGAATTGGCGAACAAAGAAGAAGGGTTTATGCAAAGAAGTTACAGAATCTCTTCCCAGTCATCTTCGATACAAGTGCATGAGATGATCGCTAGGAGACAATTTACAGGAAAAATAGATTTAAGATACAACCAGAAGATTGCTGAGATATTTGCAAAACTCCGGACCGCAGGTGTCTGCGGTGGTGAACTAACGCGCTATTGTCCTTTCCGGGGAGTAACGTCTTCACCACACCATGCGGGTCCTTCGTTTCGCCTGTCTCTCAACTAGCTCTATCGATCTTTGCCACACCAATAAGCTTAGCTGGGTTTGTTGCCGATTTGCCCCCTCCCAGATCAATACCGCTGACGGGTGATTGGTGGTGAAGGCGTTACTCCCTGGAAAGGACAATAGCACGTTCGTTCACCACCGCAGGCACCTGCGGTCCGGAGTTGATGAGCTTATAGGAGGTTGGTAATATTATCTATTTTCGGCTAACATTTCGGCGTCTTCGTCTTCCTCAGAGCTGATGATCCGAGTCGATAGTCCACGCTTGTTATTGGTCTCGACGTGGCAGCTTCGCCTTTGTGTCGAGTCAGATCTTCCTCTACGGGCCATCTCCTCAAATGAGGTATACTCACTCGGTGATGCCCTTTTATGCAGGTTCCTGATGGTGGATAGCTGTGATTGCATATTCAAAAAATATTCAGAATGTAAAAAGAAATCAAAATAAAAAATATGCAAAAAATACTAAAATAAATAAATATAAATATTAAATATATAATATTATGTATATTTTTATTTTTTATATTTTTATTATTATATTTATCTATAATTATATTATTATATTATATTTATTAGTATTTGTTTCAAGATATTCAGTTTTACGGCTGATAGGGGACTATAACGTAATGCCGAACAGTAGCTACTAGATATGGTGAACTTGCCGAAATAATGAAGGGGCTGTGAAAATAAAGTTGACGAAGATGGTATAATTTAGCTGTTTACTTAACGAACACACCAATCATTCCACGACTTTTCAACTACCGCCTATTTTACTGATAGAAAGCGTTCTCTGTTTGGTGACAAGGCGATATTGTAGCTTGTGGGGTTTAAACTGGTTGCTGTAAGTTTTGCTTCGGAAAAGTGATATGTGACATTTTTCCAGCGTATAGACTATGCTCGAAATGAACGGTCGTAGAAAAAAGTGTTAAAATCGCAGCAAGAGGACTTATGCACAATGCTTTTCCAATGCGTTGGGTGGATAGGCAGTGAAACAAGAGAAGGCATTCATTTCAGAAATTGTAACGCAACGTAGGACAATAATCGTCAGGAGAATTTTATTGGACGCACAGCCAACCCATCTTTATTCTGCGTGAGATAAACAGAAGTGTGACTAAAAGTCCGGCAGACACCCTCCTGGATTAGTAAAATAACACGATGTTAAAAAGATTTGTTCGGCTAATGTTTCGACGTCCTTATCTCCTTCAGAGACGAAGTGATATGAGTCGATGATCCACAGTTCGTCGTTGTCACGCTGTTGCTGTTCGTTGTAGCGACGAGTCAAACCCAGTGGAGACAGCACCGTTCGAATGCCTGATTTCATCCAGCGCTGTCCTATTATACAGGGCGTGTGTTGGTCGAATGCCGCCATCTGAGATGATCTAATTTGGGTGGCAATGTATCCTGCAACAGTCGGTGTTATATTAGCCAGCACATAGCGAACCAATACTTCTCAAAACTGCCGTCGTTTAACCTCGGCATTAATGATCAATACGTTTTTGGAGAAAGGTCTGGTTTATAGTCTCACCTTTTGTGTGTCAGCCCTAATTCTTATTGTTTTCTCTGCATTCGTCCAATTCTCATTATGCATCAGCTTAAATCCAAGCCTACAAAAACCGCTGAAAATTAAAGCACTATGTTCACAAGACCTAATTCATTACTTAAACACACTTCTTCTGTTCTTCTGTTACAACACGTTCACATTCATACGGCACATCAGCGAATTTCATCTGTATGTGCAAGTGGAGGCTTGGGCCTTTCTGAAAAAACGGAAGCTTTAAAAACACGGCACGTCGGATTTTCATCACTCCGAGTCAACAATTATTCATGGTTTCTCTGATAGAATACTTTCCAACGAAAGTTTTGAAGCTAAGAATACGTTGGGCGTTACCGGACCAGTCGATGGCATATATCTGGTGTTTAGGATTATTATTTAACATCACGTCTCAGCGGTTTCCCGCCTCATCGTGGCTGGAAAGTGTGCCTGGGTGTCGGACTGCGATGTACAGCGGGGGAATTCGTTCCCCCGGCAGGTTCTCCCACGTTGAGAAGGAGTCCGGCTTTTCCACCAGGAAGAGTGAACCAATACCAGGATCAGTCACCGTCCTAGTATCAAGTCGCAAGGTGGCGAACCGCCTTTTGATTTACAAGGATTGCGACTGTCCGTGGTGGTGAAGACCTGGGGCAGACTTTAGCCAGGCTGACCTCTGGATTCCAGGAAACCACAATGGTTTAACCAGCAAGTCTCCGAAAAATGGTGATTATGCTGGGGCCCGTACAATTAGTGAGGACGGGACGATCAAGTATCAGGTATCAAATACTTAACATCATATTTTTATGAAAACCAGGTCGAATTATTTTATTTGTAACTAGAATATTTCCAACCAGTAAGATCGAATCCTCTGTGAGGTGGTAAACTGGAAGCTTCGGTGCAAAGATCTCCCGAGGAAGTAGACCGAACGACACTTTTATTTCATTCAAGGATAATAAAGCACTGGAAAAGACTGCGTTTACGTCATTACTACTGAACTGTTGTTCAATTCTTATCAAATTTGTAAAGAACATTCTAGAATATCCTTTAAGTAAAATCCTAAAGAACGTTGTAAGCCAAAAAGCGACACTTGGAATCTAGAGCTGTCTACTACAAATTTTTCTAATGAAAAGTATTCTATCAAGGCAATTTAGTCATTTTCTCTAAACTTTGAAATAATATTAAATACATAAGCAATGGAATACGACCATGTTGCTAAAAATAATATCTCCTACACCGTGGTGAAGCTAGTCAGATTCACCAATTCGATTTGCCAGTAGCGACATTTTTGGATCTCATTGAGGCCTGTCATATGTACACAAGCTGCCTATGAATTTACTATGTATAAGGATCCTTACAAACCTCATGTGAGTTCTTTGCGGTTGGACTCCATAATACTAGGCTGCGAATCAGTTTGCAGCTGGTCTTCACCAACTTTTTTTGGATATTTCGACGTTCTTCTTTCCGAGCGCGTTCACTGTCCTCACACCGATCCGGAAATTCTGTCTGCTCAAACGTGGATAATTTTATGTATATGTATATGCATGTGCATATGTGTATGTATATGTTTGACGTATGTAATGTGCATGTATGATGATTTTGAACGATGAATGATTTTGTCTTCTTGTGTATACATGAGTGTTTTTTCAATCAGAGCGACTTACCAGTGTTGTTGAGTCACTGAAATAAATTTATTTAACAGTGAACTCTTTCATAATGTTCAATTTCTTTGTCACGCAATTCCACTCCATTTCTAAAGAACTGAGGTCGGAGTGAGATCCTTCCGGAAGATCCGACTGGAATCAGCAATGGCGGATGAACAGCCCATAGTTTTCTCTAAATAACTCGTGTAAAATCAATCACAAACCGAAAGATTGTCGACCTCATTTGTGAGACACAACTGAAGAGTGTTCGTGTCCGTGTTAATTCGTACTATATTCGAACCCCTAAAATTATTGATGGTAGATGATAATTGGACAGTAATGACGACCAAATGGGAACAGTGTTATTTGCTGCCCGCCATTATTCTGTGGACTTCTATTTTTCATTGTTTTCACTGAATAGAATGCTGCAGAAGTCGGTAAATACATCTATGACGCCACGGTTATAGACGCCTATGACGCCAAGGTTATAGGGAATAATTCCTTAACGTAATCCCGAATGTACTTCTAATCTTAATATGAATTATTCAGCCATTTGCGAGTGTTAAACGAAAAGTAGGCGATGACCAAGGAACTGTTTAATCTACGGACCACGTCAGAAAAGAGCGTATTCTGTCGTTGCGCAGAAGTTCACAAATATTTATTTTCGCCTTATGGTGCAGAAATCCACATATATACTGCCAACTCGAGCATCCATATAAAGAGTAGATTCTATATCTATAAGAATAGCTAATCTCCACAAAAAATGCAGCGTGCAGTCGTCAGCTCACATTTCCAATTGGTTTGATATGTCAACGGTTTGGCAAGATTTCTTCGCTGGTATGCCTGCGAATTCACACCGCAGTTTTCGTTTAGGTCCCGAACACACGAACTCGCTGATCTGTTCGGAATGGAACCTCTTTGTCACTAATTTCCTCTAGCGTGTAAGGGATTATCGACATTGGTTTAAACTTATTTCAGCTCTTATTTTTAAGATCGCTGATCTTTATTATTGTATAATACAACAAGTTCGAAAATGTCCCGAAATAGATTAATCCGCTTTCGACTCCCAAAATCAGTTCAAAAAAAGAGCAAGCCAATATTAATACGACCTTACACTTATTGCTGGACACAGTTGGTCGGCGGTGAGGACGCGGTGTCGTTGAAATAGTTCGTTTTTCTCTTGGTCCTTAATAAAGTGGTTTCACATTTAATCGGCTGGAATATACAGTAAAGCGGAGATTCTTTCTTTAACTTTAAAACTGAACGTACTGTGATCGATTTTCCCAGTCTTCGTGATAAGCATTTCGCAGCTTCTCTGTTGCTCTACCACAATAGTTAGAGTGCGACAGGTAAATCCGTCGGAGCTCGCCAGAGGTTTCCGTACCGATGAGTTTCACGCTCGGAAAGCGTTGCGCCGGTGCAGTCATTATCTGCACGACGCGCTGTCGTTTAAATAATTCAATTTTTCCTGGTCCCTAACAAAATTGTTTCATATGTAATCGGGTAGAATATAAATTACACAGAGACTATTTCTCAAATATTTTAAAGTACACCTACCTCGACGAATTTTTTTAGCTTCGTGTCCTGCTCATAAGCGTTTCGTAGCCTTCCTAGTGTAACGTCGAAGTAGTTGGAGTACGACGAATAACTCTGTCGAAGCTCATCGAAGACTTCGGTCCAGATCTTCTACAAATTTTACTCACCAGTTCATATATTCACCGGCTAGCTTTGCTTAGGGGTAGCGTGGTTTCGATCTTACAAGAAAATTTCCGTGATTTTAAAAATCTGTTAGGGTTTTATAGAGATTTGATAATATTCTAGATCACTTCTCTACAATTTATTCGTGCGCATAAAATTTTAACACACATATTACTCACGGCCACTAATATTACATTTTACAAAGCTTTCGTGGAATTTCACTTGTATCTACATGGACTGAAAACGGTCATTTTACTCTCCGCCGTTTCCTAAGAATCGTGTATGCTTCAATTCACTTTTGTCAGTGGTGTTCAGAATCTCCATGGCTCTAACAACTGTCCTGTTATGGGCGAAATTTTTGGATAGAAAATGATAAAAGAGTTTCTAAGCTGCCTTACTATGGTATCCTTCCATCATGACAACACATTTGCGTGAAAAAGTGTGTAACAGCTTTAGGTGATTGTTGCTAACATACCATAGTCTATCCAGATTTGGAAGCCAAGAAAAGAGAAGGAAACGCGCCTTCGGAGATTTATATTATTAGAGCACTTACCGTGATCACATCGCAAATATTGTCGTCCCACTTTTCAATTAACTTTGGAAGCTTTTCGCAAAGTCTCTCGTGCAAGTTCATGAATGGTTGTGCTTTTTCCAATATTTGCGCAATGTCTTCATATCTAAGAAGTGGTCATTCTTCAGTGAAGCAATCGATAAGGGCACCCCTCACCTGTTTTAATATGGAGGACGTAAAGCGACTTATTTGAGTCTGAGAATCTGCTTTGTGAACAAACATACTTACCATAAGCAAAAACTTAGTCTTGCCAGTGCAATACCCTACATATGCGTACATTTGCTGGCATATCATGAACCTCTTGTCGGTCGCACCGCCAATTAGGATTGCAGTTGTCATGGATTCTAGGTCAGTAGGGATTTACTTGTAAAGTAAAATTCAAGCGTAAAGTTAGAACACGGTTAAAGCTAATTCTTTTCATTCTTTAATGAAATTCTATAAAGTTTCTGTATAACTAAAACTGCACCGCAATCGTTTTTATCTAATTGTGTTGTGTTTTCATTTACACCGATTGTGTCGGCAGAATGTTGCCAGTTGTGCGTTGGAGCAAATTTCCGTGATTTCTAAAACAGTAAAGTGAACGGATGAGGGGCTGGAAAGTAGGACTTCACATTGAATGAATTGCATAAGGTCTCATTAAGAGATTGACGAAAAATGAACACTTTACCCTTTTACCACCGAAAAAGGAAAGATTGTGAAATTTCTGAGGCTCAATTTGAAGAAAAAAAAGCGAATAGTAAATGAAACATGCAAGCTAAAAGCCACCTGCAATGCTTAGGCATTCGCCTATTGCTGGACGGCGTAATGACCCATTGTAGAACCGCTTCTCACCTTACCAGCATTAAAATTGATGACTACTCGTTGGTTGGTCCAGCCGCGTTTTCCGCAACGCAACTTTAACTTGATAACGATGAGGCTACATGTAACATTGGAAGAATGATATGGGAAATCAATAGTTGATATGTATAGCAGATACTGCCGTTGATGACTATCCGATTAACATGTCTAAGCGGTGTACCACACGATTATCATGGATCACTTCTGCTGTTCTGAAAGAAACCTAGACCTCATGTTAAAGGAAGCTCACCGATCCAAGAAGACCGACGAGCAGTTGGTAGTGAATACTTGGATCTTTGTGCTGAACAAATGTCGAACTAGCCGGGCACCTGACGGCTCCTTTTGTTTCGTGAATGTCGACCATTCAAGTACAGGAATCAAGTAGAAAGTGAATAAGCTGCGCATTCAACGTCTTCTCTTACGTTGTTATTTTACTTACCTGTCCCTTAACCTTAGTAACTAACATTGGAGCAAACAATAATAGGTCAGTGTTCATTAAGAAAAACTAGCATAAGAGGGAAAATAGGCAAGCATCTAATAGGTAAATTCTAGTTGCGTGTTAAGCGCAATGGCAACGCGTGACCACTAATACGAATCCACACTGAGTCAGCTAGACGTCCCCTTCGTCCTTGATCACCAAATTGATAAATTTTATCGATATTATTGTTAATATGATATTGATTGATGAACGTGATAAACCGATTTGTCTGCACGACCTCCTGTTCATATCAGCAGGAAACTAAAATCCTGGGAACGCAAAAGCTAACATGAGCTGTGTTTATATACGACTGATTCTAAACGTTAAAAGATCTTTATTGAAAACGTTTTGAACGGAACTGTTAGAGTATGATTTATGAAAAACGTAATGGTATATTTATTTATGTGATCTTATAAACTAATCTTAAGCTGATGCGAGGTTAGTACAGGTCTTCGTTGTCGTTGTCGTTGTTTTTGATGTTGTTGGTCGATGGCTAACGTTTCGGCGATTTCAACTGCCTCAGAGGCGTGATGTTACGAGTGGGACTCGAGACTGAGACTAGTTCCGTTTCGACGACTTCCTCAGAGCCTGGACGTATTTTATATTAGAATATTTTTATTATTCGGTGGAAAAAGTCAAAAGTATTAATGAAAATCAAACTTTTAAATGGACGCCATATTGAACAGAAAGGCCACTCACCGTGATGAAAAACCAACCGAGAACTGGCTTCCATTCTTAAACATCCAAATCAAACTCTCAGTAAGTGGCTATATAACGAAATGGTATTGCAAGCCAAGTAGTAAAAACGTTCTAGTTCACTACCTCTCCTCTCATCTTTCACACATGAAAAAAGCGCTTAACAAAAACATGTACCGTACGGCTAAAAATGTGTGTGCAGGAGATGAGGAAGGGAAGGAATCGCAAAACCTGGCGCGAAAAGTAGCCATTTCCAATGGCTTCGAAGTTGAAGCCACTTGGGTTAGAGGAAAACGTTGGGGTTATTCTCCAAAATAATATTTTGAACGTAAGTGAGATCCCCTTTAGGCTACCATTCATATTAAATGAAGGAAGTCACACCATTAAGTCGTGCTTAAGAAAAAGTGGTTTTGAAAATTATGTAACGATTATTGACAACCCACCCAACACCCTGCACCATCAGTTAGTTCGTAACCGTCTCTATGAGCGATTGTACAGCTCAGAAAACTGTATGATCTGTCCTAACGGGAGAGACGGGGATTGCATGAGTTTAGGTATAATATACTTGATCTCATGTAACGCATGCGGTGAGGAATATATTGGGGAAACGGCTAGACAACTTTGTGTCCGCATAGAAGAACATCTAGATGCGAAAGCTAAAATTCATCAAAACACTCCTCTAAGTACACATAGGGCACAAAAGCACAATGGCGATGATTTTGAAGTGACTGTGCGAATCCTAGCGCAGGAATCGAAGACATCACTGCGCAAAACTCTTGAGGCGTTTTGGATAAATTTCAAAAATCCAAAGAAGAACCGGAAAGACGAATGCCTCACTGTCACACGTGACCTGGCGCCCTACATCAAAATGATATTTTGACCACTTGGTCCGTCTTGCTCGCGACCACACGTGAACAACGTGTAGGCCAGTTCCACACGTAACATCACAGTGGGTGGCTTGGATTATAACTATTATTATATAATTGTGATTATAACTGCAACCTCAGCTTAACTAGCTTCGTTGCCGATTTGGGCTCCTCAGATCTATCCCGCTGACGGTGGATTGCTGATGACAAAGGTCGACAGAACTAGCTGAGAGAAAGGCGAAACGAGGGACCTGCATGGTGTGGTGGAGTAACGCGTTACTACCCCGAAAGAACAAAAGCGCGTGCGTTCTCCACCGCAGACACCTGCGGTCCGGAGTTTTGCAAATATCTCAACATCATTAAAGTTATATTTCTGAAGTGGCTGCTTGCGTTATCCGAAATTTTTTACATGTTTGTTAGAAGAATAGGACTTTGTGTAGACACTTTTCAATTTCAGGAGAATATCATTTTTCATGCCAAATGCGCCTCGTCGTTCCGACTTCGTTTGAAGATATTTCAGAGCAGATTTCGGACGATATGCAAATACTCCAACTGTTCATATCAATGAAGTTTCAAAGCACGATGGCGTCTGTTCAAAACGTTTTTATTAAGGTGTAAAACAGGCGGAATGCGGCAGAAATTGGAGTGATTTTCACTGACGGAAACCGAACAACTTAATGAACTATATGACAATGCCGCACTCAGGTTCTCCCTCATAAGAGGGATCTCGAGCGTTAGTCGCGAGGCAACGTGGCTCGTCCCCAGGTGGCGGAAAGGAGGTTAATCGTGGACCAAAAGCTACCTTGTTTCACTGAAACGCAGGTGGATCCAGGGGATGGACTCCTTGTTTCTGCCGCGCTGATCTGGCACGTACTTTCTGCATTTGCCAGGCATATTCATGCATGCGTGTGTGGGTGCGCTCTCGCTTATGCGGATTGTATTCTACGAGTCAATTCGGCCAAAACCATGCAATCAAGTGACTGAGAAGTATATGGGAGGCGATTAGGAGTCGCCTCCAACAAATAAGCTCCATGTCCACTCTGGGAGAGCCTAGCAAGCTAACCGTGAATGTACCCAACTTCACGTGCAGAGCCCAGCAAGCTATACGTGGGTATCAAAATGCTCAGTACAGTAGAAAAAAAGCGCTTCATTCGCCTGAGCATGAAAGAGACCCTAATTTCGCATCGTTGGGTAGGACGAGCGAAATTAGTAGTAGAACATCTGAGACAAACTAACCTCACCTAATCCACGTCTAAACCCTTTCTCTATCATGGCTATCTCAGGTAGAGTCGACTAGTACA